GCGGGGCGGACGAGTGTGCTGTGCGCACACGCAGCAGGAGCGGCACGGCTGGGGCACCGTGAGACTGGTTTGGAAAGTTTTTTAAAAGTTCTGGGCTCAACAGAAAATGAAACTCTTGTGTAAATGGCTTTGGTAAGAAAAGAAATAAGTGGAAGACGAGGCAAAGAAAAGAAAGACAAAGAAAGGAAAAAAGGGAAAAAGAGAACCGAGGAAAGCCCTGGAAAGGGAAGCAGGGCTGCCCGCACCCTGCTCCAAGCCCAGGGCGGAGGACGAATTGTTGGAGCAGCCAGCCCTCAGTCGGTGGCCTGTCCTCCCAACTGCGCGGTGGCCCTGGGAGCAGCCGTGGTACGTACCAATAGTGCAGGCCACGAAGTAGACCCTGGAGGACTGCACCTGGATGTCGAACCTGTGGCAGTAAGCCACGAGCAGCCCTGGGGAGAGGGACATGGCAGTGGCTCACCCACAGCCCTGGGGCCCTTCCCAGAGTCTCAGGAATGGGGGACTCCCTGGGAATGGACTGCCACCACTGAGTGCCTGCTGGGCGCCATGTGTTCTCTGCTGAGCGGCTCGTACTGTCACTTTACAAAATGGGCCAGACCACCGGCTCAGCCCAGAGCTGGGATGATGTCACCCGCAACTCAGCTGAGACACCTCAGTTGCCCTCTACAGCAGCGAGGGCCTGGCAGGCACATCTGTGCAGCCGCAACCGAGATGGCGCAAGGCCCAGATCCCATCTGGAGGCTGCCCTGAATCCCCTGGCCAACCCAGGCACAGGGTGCCCGCCCTGACCCTGAGCCCAAGTCCCTGGGCTTCATCCCCACCCTGCGGCTCCTCCTTCCAGCTGTGACTCCCAAGGATGCCAGGCCCTGGCTCTGGGATTCGGGCAGGGCCCACCCCCCAGGAAGGCCAGCAGAGCCCCATCGCGGAGCTCTGACCCCTGTGCCCCCCGAACCTCAATACCTGGCACCAAGATGTCCCCAAAGCCCAGGATGGAGAAGGGCTGGTCACACAAGGCCAGCGGAGAGTTCAGCCTGGGCACCTTCAGGACCATGGGCAGCTGCAGAGAAGCAGAGGAGACGGCCTTCTCCAGGAGGCGGACCCAACTCCACCCAGGACAGTGCCCCCGAGGCCCCTATGGTCGGGTGACATACCTTCTCGTGCGTGGCCGAGTTTGAAGGCCCAGCGGCCACCTCCACCATGATGCTGTTCCCACTCTGCACACAACGGGGGGAGTGTCACAGGGAGGAAACGGGGGCGTGGGAGGCACGGGGGGCGGGCAAGGGCACCTACCCTGGTCAGGAAGGGCGTGACGAAGACGAAGAAGACGTCGTAGACAAAGAGCACCAGCAGCAGCAGCGTGCAGGCCTGCGGGAGCCCGGCCTGAGACGCGTCCGCCAGCCCACGCCTGCGCCGGACTGTCCCTCCCACACCCCACCACGCCACGCCCTGGTCATCTCTCAGAGGCCCAGCACCTGCCCCGAGGACGAGGCCTTTAGGAGAGAGTCTGAGCAGAGCAGGCTCGGGCCCCCTGGGGTAAGGACAGCCAGCAAGAGCACTTTGGGGTGAGTTCAGGTCATAGTTCGAGGAGAGAACAGAAGTCAAGCTTTTAAAATTTCCAAGTGACAGAAGACAGCGCACTTTAGGGATGTATGTCCCGCAAGTGACCGCACGGCCGGGGCGCACCAACATCCTCAGCCCAGGCCTGCCTGCTGCGCTCGCCCACTCTGTCTCGTCGAGTCTAAGCAACTCTTCCTGTCACCTCGTCCAGTGGGAAATTAACCCCAAACACACTAGGTGCCATCCTGGAAAAAGACTGCCCTGCAGCAACCTGCCTGGGCCAGGCCCTGACTAGCGGCCCCAGGCCACGTTGGGGGAGGTTCTGGGGCGACTCCTTAAGCCCCAACGTCCACACCAGGTCTAGTCAGCTCTGTCACCAGGGTGGTGACTAGAGGCACAGACCTGCAAAGGCCATGCCACCCGCACACGGCCCCCAGCTGCCGTGCCTCCCCAGCCCCCACCTTGAAAGTCGGCAGGCGGATGGTCTTCAGCATGTAGAGGCAGAAGGCAATGCCCAGGGTGTCCTGAAGGACCCAGGCCCACCTGCAGGACACAACAGCGTCACCACCCGGGCAGAGGCTCCATGGTACCCCAGGACTTTGCATCCCAACTTCATCCTCCACCGATGAGTCACCACCCACCAGGTCCCTGGCTCCTCAGCCACCAAGCAGGCCAAGCTGACATCCTTGGCACGCCTCTGCCCTCGGACAGGCCAGCTGCAGAGGCTGCAGCACCAAGGGCCACTGTGCCAGAAGGATGAGGACAGCCGCACCCCACCCCCTCTGCAGGCCAGAGAGAGGTGGACACACCCGGGCTCTCTCGCATGTGTCTGGCAGAATGGGCAGGGGACCTGGCTGCTTTGTCTCTGCCACTGCTGGGGGCTTCACACCCAGGGGTGTGTGCGGAGACCCGAGTATTCGCAGTGCAGCAGGAGTGCCAGGGGCGCCCACACAGGCTGCACAGCCGCGGCCACCTCTAATTTTATGCCATGGAGCACGTTTCCCAGCTTGGATTTAACTGCAAGAGTTTGTTTTCTCTTTGTGTACAAAGGACTCAAAATATTTTCAGGTTTTCCTTCTGCCAGCTGAATCTGCTGTGGCTCCAAACAGTGCTGAAGCCAAGAGCATTTGGCTTCCTTGGGAAAAGCTCAGAGAATATGCCAGATGGTGTCAGCGGCAGCAGTGGGAGCTGGGCTGGGACAGGCAGCTTTGTCCTCTTGGCCAGGGTGCCAGGTGCTCTGCCTTGCAGGGAGGCCGGGGCTGGCAGGAGGCATCCACAGTCACCGCCGGCGGGAAGCCAGCGTATGGGAGCAGCAGTGCCCACCCCCACCCCTGCCCCCGCACTGCTCAGAGGCCGCGGGCAGGGACAGGGACGAACAGTGTCTCAGGGCAGCGTCTCCCTCCCCTGCCTGAGAGTCCCATGGAAGCCAAGCCAGAGGCCACAGGCACCGGCAGCCAGGAGGAATCGCAGCATCTGTCCAGATTCCAATCAGGGATCCCATGGCAGACAAACCCGGGTGAAACTGAACACAGGCGGCAGGCAGGGGACCACAGCCGGTGGCCTGTCAGGTGAGCCTGGGCGGAGTGCTTTTAATAACCGCTTTTAATAACCACGGAGTTGAAGCGGCTCCAGGCTGCTCCTGAAAGGTCTCAAGGGAAGCATGGGGAGGTCATGGCACAGCAGCAGCCCGGCCAGCCAGGAGCACCTGAGGACAGCCAGCAAGAGGGCGCGGCACTTACTGGTTCTCATTGCGGAAGACGCCCCATGCCACACTGATGGCCACGCACAGGAGCGCCAGCAGCAGCATGCGGACCTGCGGGCGCTTGTGGAAGTATGGCAGGCTGTTCTCGGGGACCCTGGGGGGTGGTCGGATGGTCAGAGCCCCAGGCCCACCGACTAACACCAACAACCCCACCACCCCCAGCCCTCCTGGCCACCCCTACCCAGACTACTGGCCCTGACAAGGATGGCTCCCTGCAAAGCCCCTAAGCTGCCTCCATCTCCCACTGCCCATGGGGGCTCTGCCGAGGCGCCCCCTCCCGAGAGCCAGCCCCATGTCCTGCCTGCCTCTACTTCATGTCCCCTCACGTTCACAGAGCAGAAACTGGCAGGGCAGAGGCCAGCATAGGGCAGGCACTGGGGTTGTGGGGGCTGTGGATAGCTCTTCACGGGACAGGATGTGGGGAGGGGACCTGAGAACCAGCACCCACCTCCCAGCTCTGCCTTGCTCCAGGGCCTGGGAACCCAGCCAGCACTGAGTGGGCACCTGCTGTATGTCCCAAGCTGTGCCATGCGAGAGGAAGGGGGTCCTGGCCATCGTCAGGCAGAGCCCTGAGCCTCAGGGGCGGGAAACGAGGCAGAAGCCAAGAGCAGGCTGTGCGGGCGGAGGACCGGGCACGGCAGAGGCCGCCCGCACGGCTCAAGTAGACTCACCTGCATTTGCAGAACGGCAGCCTCCGGACGAAGGGCGACAGGCAGCTGTAGAGGCCCGTGGAGGAGGCCAGGCAGAAAATCGCGATGACAATGTAGACTGTGGGGAGCGGGCAAGGTGAGGTCCCACCCGGCAGGCCGGCCCCACCGGGAAGACGGACTTCACTACTCCACAGTCAGCCCCTCACGTGGGGTGCAGAAGCCCCCTAGCTACAGGGAAGCTGGCGGGTTACCGGGGCCATGGTGGGGGCGGGGCGGGGCGCACCGAGGTGGTCGTAGAAGTAGTAAAGCAGCACCAGCATGGAGCAGCACATGACCACGAACACGCAGATCATGACCGGGGTCACGTCCACCGCCTCGTCCTCCTGCTTCTCAGGGCCGTCGTCCCGCTTGTGCTTCATGTACCTTCTTGGAAGAAGCCAGGGGGTCACGAGGACACTGGGCCCGCCCTCAACGCCCCATGCTGGCCACCACACGCCGATGTGCTCAGAGCTGCCGGCGGCCGGCACTCCCAGACGGACCAGGGACAGACCACGCAGGGGCTTGAAGCGCAAGAGCGGAGTCCACGCCCACAAGGACAGTCTGGGGCAGCCACCTGGCCAAGCCAGAGGTTGGCACTGGCTTCCAGCCCCCCAGGAACAGGGCTTTAAACTGCATCCCTATGGCCTCAGGGCAGCTCCTGGGGAAACAACGGCAAGTGGGCCAACCTTCTCTCTCCACCTGCCCGGAGGGGGAGCCCGACTCCACCCTGAGACAAGGAGCCCAACTCCTCAGGGAAACAGCTGCACCGAGGTGAGCCCCAGCCACCCCGGGGCCAAAGGTTTCACTACTACAGTGGTGGATGGAAAAGTGTGGAATGTTCCCCCACCAGCCACGTGGACGTGGAGGCCAGGCCTGTGAGCGTGGCCCCGTGGGCCTCCCACAGCTGCCCCCAGCCCAGTTCCACCTCCACCCAACCTCCCCATCTGCGTCTTCAGCAGGGCCCTCACAGGGTTTCTCATGCTGGGGCCTCTGGATGGGTCTCCTGGGTGTTCATATTCAAGAAGGTTCTCTAGGTGAGTGGACGCCCCTCCTCCCAGTAGCCCTGTGACTTGGACGATTCCCCTTTCCTGTCCAAGCTACCACCCATCACAGGTGCATGTCTCACACACACATGTCACACACAGCTGGCGCACAGCACTCACTTCTTCACGTCCCGGCTACCGGCCCAGTAGCCCCCACCGGCGACTGTGCCCACGGCCATGAAGAAGATGATGACCATGTTGTAATCCAGCACCGGCTCCTTGGGGGCATACAGTGCTGCCCGCACCGTGTGTCCGAAGCTCTGCCCGGGAACACACCGAGCTAAACATCACCAACGCCTTGCCCCGTGCTCACCCGCCACCCCCGGTCTCGATTCCTGGGGTGAGAAGCACCCCCAGGGGCTGCAGCCCAAGCAGCCTGCCCACCATCTTCTCAAGACCCCCAGGTGGGCCTACCCTGAAGATGTCCAGCATGTCGCTGTAGCTGAGCAGGGCCACGGGAATGCCGATCTCATCATACTGTGTCTTGTTGCCCCCAGGGGGGACCTGGAGCCAAGAGGAGGGAGGGCAGGGAGTCACCCCCAGACCACATGGCAGGCAGGCTCCTAAGCATGGCCCAGCGTGGGCCAAGGGGAGCATGAGACCCTTCTGGGTGCCCAGGGTGGGCGGGGCAAGTAGAACTGCTCCCGGGCAGCAAGTGGGACTCCACCTCGGGCACGGCCCCCACCCTGCTGGGCCCCAGCTGACAACTACAGCCCCATTCTGCAGGTCAGCCAGGCCACCCGGCCAGGGCCACATGCTATGAGCCACCACTGCCAGTCCCAGGCTGGGCCAGCTCCTCAGGTCAGGGCACTGGGGTTGCGGGGGTCGGGAGACCAGCTGTGGGCCTTGCCCCAAGTCCTCGGAAGTCACTCAGAGCTCCGACCCCGGGCGCTGCAGGAGGGTGGGGCCTCCAGCCAACTCCTGGGACAGGCCCTGCAAGACCATATCTGAAGCCCACGGCCCGAGTCAGCAGCTCGAGAGAAACTCAGGTCTTTGTCTCTGCCCCCACTGTGGCTGTCTGGCCAGCATATACCTGACTCCTTGCTGCGTCCCCTCTGCCATGCTGGCGCCCAGGGCTCCTCCCTACAGTGGGGTGTCTAAGTGAGCAGTCTTAAGACCTGCCCTGCCACTCTGAGAAGGGACGGAGGTTCAGGACAGAGCCTGGTGCCCACGTTCATCTCTGGGAGATGAACGTGCACTGGGGGCCGTCCAGAGCCACCCACTCTGGGTGCCCACTGTCCCAGCCTGGGGGGAACGCCGAAGGGCCCTACCAGCTTCTGCCTGCTGACGATGAGCAGCCCCCGTGCCCCGCTGCCCTGGGCCAGCCTCACTTTCTCGTAGAAGGTGCAGTTCCCCCGAGTCACCAGCGGGATCTGGTTGCTGAAGCCATTGACAGGAAGGTCCGACGTGGAGCAGAGCAGGGAGGCAGTCCAGTCGCGCAGCTGCAGGAGAGACTGAGGGGGCAGAGAACACGTGCCTGAGGCAGAGGCGGACCCTCTAACACCCAAAACTCCACAGTGAGTTGTACCCTGACGCAACCCCCCAACTAAACTCCCCATATGGTTTCAGCCCCAGGACGGGGCTGGTCAGGTGAGGAGGAGACTGGGCAGGGCCACTGCTGTTTCCCAGCAGCAGGACCCTGCAACTGGACAATTTAGGCCTCAGCTGCCTCAGGAGCTCAGGTGCGGGTATCCAGGGCCATGGGTGGCTCTCATAGCCCAAGAGAACAGAATTACTTTCCCCCCTCTGCCATCTGCTGAACATTAATTAAGCAGGAGGCCCCCAGAATCCCCAGGAGAAGGTGCTCACACTTCTGTCCACAAAGGGGAGGCTGACAGTCCCCATGCCCAGCAGCTCCCTCGGGACAGAGCCAGGTTGAGGCCCAGACCTGCCATCCCAAGTCTGGGGCCACGCTCTGGACCCACAGCCCAGAAAGCCACCTGTGGCCCACCCTGCTACTGGCAATAAAACTGGGCCTCCCCTCTCGTCCCTGGAACCCCCGAGTGGAGAGCAGCCTGCTCTGCACGTCCGCAGATGAGCAGGCTCTGGATGTCCCCCTGCTGGGCTTCCCAGCTCGTGTCCACGCAGCACGCACTGACAGGGAGCCCACTGTGTCCCAGGCCTCACAAAGCGCTCGCTAGAACTCCCAGCTGTCCCCACACATCTGAGACGCCCTGCGTGGCACACAGTCCCCAACTGTGCAGCCTCACAACTCACTTAGCAAGACTGAGGAGGTCCCCACCTTGTGCTGGCACCACGTGAGGCTAGGGAGGCCCAAAGCAGAAAGGCAAGGCCCAGGCTCTTGGAGACCCGAGGGTGCAGGAGGTAGACGAGGCACACACATGCACGCATGCGCTCACGCAGACTTGAGCACACCATGCACACACACAAGCGTCTATGTATACACAGACACGCACAGACACATGCACACACACAGATGTGCACATGCTTACATGCAGGCACATGTGCACACACGCAGATACATAGATGCGCGGTCACATACAGACGTACACAGGCACACATGCACACGCACACGCACACACACTGTGTGCAAGGCAGACAGGAAGGGACAGCAGGAGGCAGCCGCCTGCAGGGCAGGCTTGGTGGGATGGGGCCCTCTGGGTTGAGTGAAGGAAAGGGTCTGGTGGGCGCCCTCCCTGTACCCGCCCCACTGTGTGCTCTGCTGTCACTCCTCCGAGGACCCCTCTGTCCTGGCACACTCAACATGGGCCTGGCATACAGCAGCTGAAAAGGCACAGCCAGCCAACCCCAGCCCAGCACCAGGGGCTTGGCCAGCATCCCCCGACACCCCTCTGCAATGTTTTCATTTATGACTGGGGAAACTGAGGCCCAGACAGGCTGAGGGGCTCATCTGAGGGCGTCCCAGCCTCCAGTGGCAAGTGGCCACCTGCCCAGAGCCTGCTGCTTGCCTCTGAGCAGATCCTGCCTGGGGTTCCTAACTCAAGCCTTCCTGCAAGATGAGCCCAGGAACCCTTGGGAGCCTGCGGTACTCACCGCTTTGCTGAGGTCCTGCGGCAGGTGGGCCCACTGCGGGTTGTACAGGATGCAGTAGTCTTTGCCTTTGATGGTCCCAGCCTCAGGGACCACATGCACCATCCCATACTCACAGGCCACCTACAGCAAGAAGACAGTGGTCAGAAGCACAGCCCCGGGTTCTCAAGGCCCTGTGACAAGCAAGGTCCACACCAGCTGAGAGTGCCCGCAGGAAGGGCACCTGTGCTCACAATTTGCTCAGGATGTCCTCCTCTCTGTGTGCACATCTGATGACTGAGAAAATGAGAGGAGGACCAGGGACACAGACAAGCACCATCCTAGGCAGACCCAGGCTCATGACCCCGGCCCTGTCGGGTCACCGCTGTGGGCTCCCAAGTTTCTGCATCAATAAAACAGGGATCGCGCAATCTCGTGGGGCCTCCCAGGATCGATGGGACAGCGGGAGAACGAAAGCCCTGGAAGAACCCCGGTAGGGAGGGAGGGGTGCGGCGAGTCAGCAGATCCACCCCCAGGCCCTGGGTAGTCACTGAGGCCAGGCCAGATGGCCTGGACGAGCTGCCGGCACCTCCACAGGTCTGGAGATGGCCCCTGACCCACAGGCCCACACTAAAACTGCCTGTTGGTGTACCAGGGGGCCATCAGGGCCCAGTCACAAGACCAATGGGGCACAGGCCAGGAGGGTCCCAGGTCAGCACCCCTCAGCTCCCCCCCGAGAAGCATGGCAGGAACTGATCTGGCCAAAGGGGCTGAAAAGCCCTAGGGTCCAAAGTGGGGTGGGGCTGGGAGCTGCAGCTCCACGCAGGTGGGCTGCAGTTCTGCAACAGCTGACAAGGTGGGGTCACACTACACCTTCTGCTCCCGGCGAGACCCCAAAATGCCAGAAAAGCAGAGTCCAGCTCCCAGCGGGCCATCTCCCACCTGCTCCACTCCTGGCTCACTCTCCCCAGGAGGAGAGGAGGGGCAGGCCAGGTCCTCCTTCCAACCCTGCACAAGGCAGCACAGGGGTACACAGGGACCATCTGGCAAGTACCTCTGAAACAGAGCGAGGACCAGGAGACAAAGTCCTCCAAAGGGAGCCGAGGATGAGTGGGGCCCTTGCTACAGTTCTCTTGGGACCCCCAATCTGAATTCAGGTAAGACAGAGGGACAGGACCCAGAGTCCTGAAACACAGGATACTTCTCAGGAGGGCAGCCGAGTGGATGGGGCTGGGGTGGGAAGGCTGACTCCCTCCCCTATTAACGCCAGGGCAGGATTGGGCCGTGTGAAGACATGTTATTTCACACAAAAGCATCCCTTGCCTCCCTGCTCGCGGTACCCCCTGCCTGGACCACAGCAGGTCTCTGACTGGCCGCTGTCCCAACCACAGTTCTGGAGGCAGAGCTGCAGGCCAGCCACCCCACTCCCCCAGCCCCTGACCAGGACACCCATCACCAGCCCTGGGCCCAGCTGCTCTGCCAGCCCCAGGTGCGGGGCCCGGATGAGCAGGGTGGCTCCCGGGCCTGTAGAGGGACGAGGGTCTTAGGAGAAAAGCCTGGTGCTAGGAACTCAGGAGCTACGCATGTCTGCTCCTGGGGCCCAGCCTTCTGTGGCTTGCTCCTCCCAGGGGACTGCCAACTTCCAGGCAGGGACACAGACCATGGAAACAAACTGGCGGCAGCTGCTCACCTGACCACGCACAGGCAGCATGGATGGACGCCAACCTGCCCCTAGTTGGCGAGGCCCACACCGCAGATGTGGCTCTGCCCAGGCTGGGACTGGGGAAGGGGAGGTCTAACATGGCAGAGGGTCTGATGGTTCACGGCCCCCAGCGCCAGGACACGGGCACAGACCAGCTATCAGACGGCCACACCCTCAGTGAAGTTATAACAAAGGACCTGCCTGTCTGGCTCCCTCCATCCCCCCAGCTGCTGACCCCAGGGGTCCCCAGCCCTGCTGTTCCAGTGGCCCAATGTCAGCTCTGGTGTTCTCCTGGCTTTGTCGTTCCACATCAGGGCTTCTGGGTCCTCCCCACCAGACTGCCTGACCCGAGGGCAACCCACAGTCTGGATCCTGGTGCCAGGCCCAGCCGTGTGCCCCTTCCAACAAGTCCACCCAATATTCAGGGCCCCAGCACCCACTCCAGGGGGGTTGTTTATGGGCCATGGCAGGGGCAGGGAATCTACAACACAGAGGCCAAACCTGGCCCACCATCTGTGTTTGTAAATAAAGTTTTATTGGAACACATTCCTATATGTAGGGTCTACAGCTCTTGAGCTACAACATCAGAGTTGAGTAATTGCAACAGATGTGGCCCAAAAAGCTGAAAATATCTACCATCTGGCTTTTTCCAGAAAATATTTGCCAACTCCTGTTCTCCGGGATTTGGGTTTTTGGTAAGAAGTGTCTTTTGTATAAAACCCAAATTGATAGAACTGTTTCTCTTTTAAAAGGTCATTTAAGAGCACAAAAGCACATTCATGGATTTTCCTCCACACAATTTGCAAAACTGGTTTTCCGTTAAGTAATAAGCCTGTGCTTTTATCAAATGCCAGGGAAAGCAGTCTCACTTTGAATACAGTTTCCTCGCCTGCTGAGTTAAAGGAACTGGGAGACATTCTTCAGCAGGACACAGTTCTAAAAGAGTCCTAAGTTCTAGCAGGGTCCATCAAAATATGGAGGATTGGGGGCCGGCCCGTGGCTCACTCGGGAGAGTGCAGTGCTGATAACACCCAGGCTCCGGGTTCGGATCCCATATAGGGATGGCCGGTTCGCTCACTGGCTGAGCGTGGTGCTGACAACACCAAGTCAAGGGTTAAGATCCCCTTACCGGTCAACTTTAAAAAAAAAAAAATATATATGGAGGATTGGAAAAAGCTAGGACTACCGAGGACAGAACTGAAGACAAGGCACCCACCTTTGAACACTTAAGATTTAGAAACTTCTAGGAAAACTGTGCTTCAGAATTACCGGGAGAGCATTAGATGTCACCGGTTTTATTTACTTATTTGTTTATTTAAAAGATGACCGGTAAGGGGATCTTAACCCGTGGCCTTGGTGTCATCAGCACCACGCTCTCCCACGTGAGCCAAGGGCTGGCCCTGTCAGTGGGGTTTTTAAACAAATGAGGGAGTCCAGCTTAGAGAGCAGTCTTCCTTCTAAGATGACTTGATGTGTTCTAGGAGAGGTGACAAAATAGGGACCCAGGAAGATTGGGAAGATGTTGAGGTGAAGGGCCCATCGGCTGGGGAACAGCCTCCCCAAGGGCCCCATAACTCAGCTGGGGGTGATGGGGAGGCGGGTACTAGTGGGGAGGTCAAGTCCCTTGCCCAGCATCAAGCGGAAGCAAGTGAGTTTAGGACTGCCACTAGCAGCCTCCTGCCCAGAGGCCAGCTAGTCCTATCCTTGGGCCTGCACCCGAATTTCCCCCACCAGGAAGAACCACATCCCCAGAGCGATGTGCCTCGGGCTGTATTTGCATCTGACTCAGGGTAAAGTTCAATCTCCTCCCGCCCAGGATAAACTCCAAGAGTGCCCGCACAGTGAGCCTTCCACAACTGGCTCGAACCTGTCCAGCCCAGGGAGCCATGCTCCGCCCCACACTCTACCCTCTGCCTGGAGCCACTACCGCTACTGCCCCTGCCTGTGGGCCCCCTACCCCTGCCCTCCAGACCTGACAGGGAAACCCAGCTTCCCTCCAAGGTCCACCTGAAGGGCCTCCTCCGGTGACATCTTCCTCAGGGTGCAAGCTCTCCTTCTACACATTACACCACCCTGCACCCCAACCACAGCCAACCCCTTGCCGTCCCCAAATAAATCACCAGCTGTCACACCTCCCAGCCCCTGCTCAAGCTCCTCCAGTAGCCGACACCATTCCTCTGCATCTCCATCTCCTACTCAGTCTCCAGAACAGGCCTTCACTGCTTCCCAAAAGCCCTCCCAGGCAGATTGAGTCCCTCCCTCCACGGTGTTCCCACAATCCCTCATCCACCTCTCGCTTTTCCTTCATTCAAAATATCTAGGGCTGGCGGGTGAGCTCGGTTGGAGCGTGGTGCTGACAACGCCACGGTCCAGGGTTCAAGCCACCCCAATGTGTGGAACGCCCCAAACCGTCCTTAGATCGCTCAGACTGATGAGGAGGAAACAGGGAGCAAGGGCACAACAATGGGGGAAGTACGGGGCCTGGCAAAGCAGCTAGGAAGAGGGTTTCCCACAGAACCTCCCAGAAGAATGATGGGGGCACTCCAGGGTAACAAAAATGACCAGACCCCAAGGCGCCTTCAATAAACAAACCACGTCTTTCCAGGAGAGCTGGGAAGGGGCAGGGCGGGCTGGGGGGTGGGGGTGTTGGCTTCCTGAACAGCCAGGACACAGATGGCTTGTGAATGCCACGGGATGGGAAGGCTTTCATTTGGATGCGACAAGATCTGACACGCTTTGAGAAAGAGCTCTCCTGCTGTGTCGAGAATGCACTGGGAACGTTGGGAACAAAGGCGGCCACAGGGAGGACGGCGGCTGGAAGCTGCAGCAGAGAGGTGGTGGTGGGCTGGAGAGACGTCTCAGGAGTTAGCAACCTAAAGATGGGGTCAAGGGTAATGGGCCCCGTCTGTAGGGCTGTTAGGGACCCCATTCCCTGAGCTGCGGAAGCCAAGAGATGAGGAAGACTTGGAGTGAGAGATGCACTTAGGGCCGTGTACACACACCAGCTCTCTCGCGGACTGTCCCCTACTAAAACCTCAAACCCTTAATGCGCAAGGACACACCATAGACATGCTATCGCAGTCGGGCCGACGCTAGGCCTCGTCTTCTGAACCCACACACTCCTATCCCCGTCCCGCAGACGAGGAACTGAAGCTCTGAGCGGGGACCCCCCCTGCCCAAGGTCACAGGAGAAGCTCAGAGCGGGGACCCCCCTGCCCAAGGTCACAGGAGAAGCTCTGAGCGGGGACCCCCCTGCCCAAGGTCACAGGAGAAGCTCTGAGCGGGGACCCCCCTGCGCAAGGTCACAGGACTCGACCCCACTCCAGAGCTGCGTTCTCGGCCACAACCCTGCCGGGCCGCCTCGGGGCCCTCACGGCAACCTCTGCGGAGGGGGCCGGCTAATGGCATCGCGCCGCCCCCGCGTAGGGCACACCGAGGCTGGGGCGGGGTGGACGGCCACCTGCCAAGGCCACGGCGCCGGAGAGGGGACCCCGGAAGGGGCAGGCAGAGCCCGGGGAGGGACTGGGCTGGGAGGGGGCGCAAACTTGGGACCCGGTCGCGGTGAGTGGCGCTGCGGCGGGGAAGGGAAGGGAGCTGGGGACAGGCCCGCAAGGTCACGGCCGGGCCCCGGGCTCGCGAGCCGGCTGCTCGGGGGACGCCGATGCCCCAGGCTGGCCTCCCACGCCGGGCGGGGTCCTGCGCCGGGGCCGGGGACCCGGAGGCCGAGGGTCC